ATGTGGTCTGGCATGAGGGAAAATACCTTACAGTGTCAGTAGCTGACAACATGGCTACCATTCCCGGGAGTCGGCTGCACCGACAGCAGCCAAATGGGCCAAAACTCCATTCGCCCCTTTCCATCACGATTCCATCACGCGATTATCGTAACTCTAGGTTTAAGTCACTCCGAACTGGACATGGAGACGAAGGTTTATAGAAGCAACTGACTACCCTACGCACCCAGCTCAAGAATCACTGCTGGTCTCAATAAACACCTGTTTCCTGATCATCACATTGAGAGGTTATCCGGAAAAGAACATACCAGTCATGGCTTTTGAAGTTGGCCAAATACTCGAAGTCTAGAAATTCTTCATTCACGTCTCGGTACAAAGAAACGACACGGATTTCACGGTAATGTGACACAAGTGGCACACGATTTTGAGCCTTTCTGACCCAACAAGCAGCGCTAATCAGATAAAGCAATTTTTGTGACCAGCGACTTCATATGTTCACACAAACATTAATGTGGCTACAACGCCCCCGAAATGTAGTGTTTCCCAAGTTTGACAAAGTTCGAGTAAATCGCAACGATCAAGTTAAAAAAAACGCTCTGCAGCATGCTTCCACAGCTCTAAAGTGCAAAACACTTGCAAACGAGTTAAATTCAGGCCAGTTTTCAGACTTATCTGACGTCATCCCCAAAGGGACAATAACATAGGTTTTGATACTGGTGCCAAAAGTAGGATGGCTGCCAGCATATTCCAGATACGAAGCTCTTCCAACGTCCCTTCATGAGCTTATCTGTGAAATTAGCTAAAGACCTGCGGAATGTCCTTGCCGGATAACACTGTTTTTATGGAAGATTCCAGGTGGTATTTGCAGACAAAATACAATGTAAGATGTCGAACCAGTTCGTTTTCGGTGTCTCACCTACTGGCTAAATATGACGCAGAACATGACGTGAGTGGTGAAAAGTACGATCAGTCGGTCATTATATGGTGAATAGGTACAAATACTTAGCAAGTCCATTTCGGTTCCCACCCACATGGGCTCATTCATGTTAGGGTCACGTCCACCCTGTGAAACAGTCCAAGGTATGGTATGGGGCTTTCGCTAGTTGTGCTAACAGAGGTTGTGGTTGTAAAAGCTCCACGACTGAAAATGTTGCGTGACAAACTAACCTCGGATAGTGTGGGGTCACAATGTGGCAAGCCTGATAATTTTTTGGTATCGGATTCGTCCAGGACTTACGTCTTAACGATCCACTGGGGAGAGAAGAACGGTGTTCACGAACCGGTGCAGAAGAAAGCTGTTCGCCTAATATAGTTAACCGTATAAGAACACAGATACCTTGGGTGGTCGGCCTGCACTTTGGTTGCCGAGCTGTAACCGGTCAACAAGAGGTATTAAACTGAAGCATCTTACGTGCATCATCATCATCATCATCAACAGCATGACATCAGTGTTCAACACCGATGCTTCACTGCCGTACAACCATGATTTATTTGAAAGCCTTAGTGTAAAGAAGAGAATAAAGGTGGACGGGGAAGGGACTTAATGCTACCCTACAACAGTCTTACCTGAGCCACCTAACTATAATCGCGAGCACTAGAGGGACGATGTTAGAGCTATTTATTAACTCCAAAGGGAATGCCTTGGGATTCAGTATCGGTTACTCTCAGATTCCCATGCAAAGCTCAATTATGTTAGCGAACTCTTGAGAGCTACCCCCGGTGATTAGACAATCCTCCCGGCAGCATTTTGGATAGCTAACTGCGCCTACCTCATGAGCCCCAAGAAAAGCGAAACTGGTCGTGGGCTGTCGAAGAGTTCTCGGCAACCTTATGAGTAGTTACTTTCATGAGAAAAACCAGCCTCCCTTCGAATGCTGCTCTAAGCTACCCCTAACTTGGAACGTGCAACCAACACCCATATAATTTCCTCATTGTCGAGGAGGAAGAAGACGTAGGAATTATCATACAGAAAGACTTGTGGGACACGCATCAGTGCCTCGCACCACTAGCCTTGTATTCCAGCCTTTCGAAGGAACCCTTCGCAATCCACATGAAACCGCGTGTGGAGTATGCCGTTCAAACATGATTTGATTTGAAGTCTGATGGTCATGGGTTAGAACAAACCCGAATAGGAGACATCAAATTGGTTCGTGGATTTGAAAATCTCCGCCCATTATCATCCTCATCATCACCGACAGCATGATGTCAATGTTCAACTCTGACGCTTCGCTGCCGTACAACTATGATTTATCTGAAAACCTTATTGTCTCGTTACGGATCAATGTTCACTCTGACGCTTCCCCGCCCGAAAACTATGATTTATCTGAAAACCTTATTGTCTCGTTACGGATTCGTCGATGCCAACCCACACGAGCTATGGTTTTGAGACAACGACTGTCGAACACCTGAAGACGTCTCAGTTCCGCTACCCGAACAGGTCAAGTCTCATTGCCATACAACAAAACAGCTCATACTGTAGCCTGATACACACGTCTCATCAGATTCGGTGATACACCGCTTTGACGCCATAGGTGTCACGCGACCTGAGCCTTGCAGATCCATGCATTGGCCTCACCTGTCCTACTACAATCAGAACTAAAACAACTTCCAAGAAATGTGGAACGCTGTACAAATTCGAGCGTCTCTTCGTGGACTATAAGTGGCTGCATGTCCAGGACCATGAAATACAATTTGTGGTTGCAAAGTGTATACCAAAGAACAGGATGATCTTGGTCAGTTCATCCAAAAGCACCTGCGCCTTTATACCCTCTTCGAAGAAGAGAACGATGTTGTCTGCATAATCCAGATCGACAAACTTTTTGGTCAGAGGCTATTTGAACATTGAGGTTTTGAAAATATTCCAGCGTTTGTCTCATCATTTCAATGATCACAAAGAGACTGCATCTTACCATGGTGTGACGACTTGTGTACCTCCGCGACCCATAGAGCTATGCTGGGTGGTATCCATGTGACACTCACAGAGTCTCTCAGGAGGGTCAATGGTTAGAGGTCTGGCTGACACAATCTGCTGGCTCTCCAGTGTGGAGGTTGGAACATGCATCGCAACTTATTCTATAAAAATGGTAATACACTTGCATTTCCCACCGAAAACTGCTGCATTGCGGTCGGGCTTTTATGCCAAAGACTTTGGTCAAGGACCCTAATCGTCCTCCAGTCTAGGTCTTGGTACCCTGGCATTATCCTAACCCAAGTACAACCGTGATACTTGCAACTAACAATAATTTCATGCACATTGTTGAGCGTGTGGTGTCACCAGCCGGGTGGCCTTATTTGCTGTATAGAGTAGGGTGGATAAGCGAAAACATGCTACCGCTGACGTCTGCGTTCTCACACATTCAAAGTTTACCTCTTCTCCTTCATTCCGCCCAAGTTCAAATAATCTATCCGCAGGTTCCAGCTTTGTTCACCATGTATCACACTCAACTTCAGTTTCTGTATGTCCGACTTCAGTGACAACCCTAAACACTTCAAAATCTGTTTTCAAGACCTTGAAGTGGGCCTACTTAGCCGCATTTAATGTTTGCACACTGAATTAAGCAGGTCAACATGTGGATTCAGCTCATATATTTAATGTTCCCTGCACTGATGTATGCCCTTTGTCAAAAACAAAGGATACAGAACGCAAGTATTGTAATTGATCTGACAGCCCCCTCGCTCTCTTCCAGGTTTTGTGTGCACATTTCTGATGCAGAGGCGGCTGCAGCTGGATATGCTTGGGTTGGTATTGTATTGAGCGCAAGCGTCTCTACTCGATTGGATACCCGTTGATAGTCTCGGGTTCGTTTGGCAACGTCTGTGAGAGAATCTCGAGAAGATGAGCTCCATTGCACCGTGTATTCTGCTTACACCCCAAAGGACTATACCTCTTAATCTGGGGGGCGGGATGGCCCAAGTGGTAAGAGCGCGAATTTACTGACCGGAAAGTCCGTGGTTCGAATCCGACCTCCGCCTCTCGACTTCCCCTGTCTAGGCTTGGGCAACCTGGCAGTATTCCAGCCCTCGTGCCTCCTTCGTGTGGCATGGCAGCTTGACAACGAAAGGGTGTTAAAGCTGGTCGATTTTTTTCTTAATCTGCCAAAGGCCGTTTCTATGGCGCTCTAGATACTCTTTTATAACGGGCTAGGGTCTCACGTCACTGTGGTTTTTAGTGACATAAACGTCCAGGTAGGTAGACTAAGGGCTGCTGAGGCCAAATTAGGTGGTCGTCTTGGGTTGGATCAGACGCACACAAAACGAAAATCGTCTACTCCGGATGCGTGCCGATCACAGACTGTTCCTTTGCAGTACCGATTTCGTGAACAGCGGGAACAGCTTAGCGACGTGGTGCCCACTAACGAACCAGTCCCGGATCCAAATAGATCACATCGTCGTCAGTTACCGGTGGCGAGAGTCGATTACTGCCTGTCGCTCTTTCCGGAAATACAGCGCGGACAGCAACTGATGAACCTAAGCGAAACATTCAGGACCGGCTCTTCGAACACATGTCGGACCGCCTTTGTCGAATAGTAATGGCAGTTCGGTGTAAATATCCACAGTTCCACTCCGAGCCGGGATTTCTGTTTGTGGAACAACCCAGCCAACTTTATCGACCTCTGATAGGACTGTGTCTTTGCTTTCCGACTACAACCACAGCTCAATTGGACGCATCATCCGACGCCAAGTAAGACTGAGTGTCCGCGCAGACCGCGAAGCTTTGTGGACCCGCAAGGCCGAAGAAATAGAAAAGGGAAAAAGTGCTGGAAGCGTTTACAGGCTGTTCTGCTTGATTTGTTCGACTGGTTCTCGGAAGTCTCTTGTCGGCGAAACTCTCAGAGACCAGAATGGCTCTCTAATATCCAGCAAGGGAGAACGTTTGGACAGCTGGGCACAGTAATTCGAACAACAATTCAGTTGTCCATCTGCTACCCTCAAACCGGACTGTCGGCCTTCAAAAGAAGTCATGGTTGTACGGCAGTGAAGCATCGGTGTTGAACACTGATGTCATGCTGTCGATGATGATGATGACGGGAGTGTATCTGCTGGAGTCAATGCATGATTCTCGAAGGTCGTTACAACTCAGTTGGTCGACGCACACCGACCAACTCCAGCTATGATTCATCGTGGTCCAGGATTGATACCCATTCATATGACCTAGCCCCGTGTAGTGGGAGTCGACGACTTAGTTAATCGATTATTGATCCGTTGAGTAGAATGAGAAGACTTCGCCTAAGGATAGGCTTTATTCAACGTATAAGCACAGTATAGGCTGCAATGATAAGTGAAAGTGAATTAATGGAAATAGCAGTAAAGCGTAACTTTCACTACATTCACTCCGGCAGGCAAAATGTCAGTTGAACCTAACAGAAATGTGTTGTTGGTAACAGAAAATGAACGTAATGCGGATGAACAGTTGAAAATGGTTAAAGTAATTTTTAGTATTTTGAGGGTCTGAATGGAACACTAAAATAACGTTTCGTCGTGGACGCAAGAAAGTTTGTAACACCTGATCTAGACTTCGCGGCTGCGTAAATTGTAGGGACGAGTGCGTTGCTGTTGCATCAGAAGATTCTGAGCATTTTCTGATATGCTTGTTTTCGGTCTGTTTCGAATTTCTGGTAATATTCCAGCATTTCCTTCACTGGAGTGCGTTGTGCATCAGAAGGTTCTGAGCATTTTCTGATATGCTCGTTTTCGGTCTGTTTCGAATCTCTGGTAATATTCCAGCATTTCCTTCCTTGTTGTTATCATTCGATAACATTTGAGACTCGAGCTGAACATTTTCTGATCCCCTATCGCCACCTGCGGGTGCGAGTTGACGGATGGAAACTGTTTGGTCCCTACCGTCTTTGAGCCGAATATGGGCATACTCAGGATTGCATTCTAGTAACGTCGCTTCTTCCACAATTGGGTCATATTTTGATGTGCGGTCAAACGACTTCACAAGGACAGGACCTGGTGATGTTAGCCAGCTAGGCAGAGATGGTCCGTACGATGATCGACGCTCGTGAACAAACATTCTCTCATGTGGCGTTGAATTAGTAGCCGTACAGAGTAACGACCGAATGGCATGCAGAGCATCGATGAGCATATGTTCCCAATGTCCAACGTCGAGATTACGAGATGTTAGACCGAGTGTGATAGCTTTCCAAAGCGTTCCGTTTAGCCGTTCCACTTGTCCGTTGCCCTGGGGGTTATAGGGAGTGGTTCTGCTGGTAGCTATATGCCTGCTATGCAGAAATTCTTTGAGTTCGACGGACATGAATGAAGGGCCTCGGTCCGAGTGAATATAGGCTGGCATACCGAATATTGAAAACAGTTGACATAAACAACTGATGAGTGTCGATGCTTTCATATCCGGACAAGCGAAAGCAAATGGGAATCGCGAATACTCATCTATGATCGTTAGCAGATATTTGTTACGAGTAACCGAAGGTAAAGGTCCTTTAAAGTCGATGTTCAGGCGTTCAAACGGCCGGGTAGCCTTTATTAGTTTTCCCTGTATATGACGATGAAACCGAGGTTTTATTTGCGCACATACCCTGCACTGTGCGCCAACGGCCCTAACTTCGTTCAACGAATATGGGAGATTTTTCGATCTGACAAAGTGAAACATTCTTCGGACTCCGGGGTGGCATAACGAGGTATGTATGGTCAGCAGTTCGGAAGAATTAGACACGGAGCTACAAAACTGGCGGGATAGTGCGTCGGCAGCTTGATTCTCTTTGCCCGGACGATAAACGACATCATAACTGAAGGGAGAAAGTTCGATGCGCCACCGTAGTACCTTATCATTTTTAACTTTACCTTTATGGTTAGTATCATACATAAAGGCAACAGATCGTTGATCCGTTATCAACTTGAAGTGATTACCAATGAGGTAATGTCGCCATTTTCGTATAGATTCAACTACTGCATACGCCTCCTTTTCAACAGCGGAATGGCGTTGCTCAGATGGAGACAGTGTTCTGGAGAAAAAGGCCACTGGTCTTCCGTTTTGATTTAGGGTGGCTGCGATTGCCACATCAGACGCATCTGTCTCGACTACCAACGGTTGTGTGTAGTCGATAGAAACAACCAGGGCGTTAGCCAGTTCCGATTTCAGTACGTGAAACGCCGTTTTCACCGATTCAGGTAGAGGAAATATTTGGTTGTGCACGAGTGGATAAATTTTATCAGAAAAATGTGATATCCAGTGCGAATAGTATGAAAACAACCCGATCGCTCGCTGTTGGGATTTTTGGTTACTGGGTAGCGGAAGATTGCGGAGTGGTTGCAATCTATCGGGGTCTGGTTTGATAGTACCTTTAGATACTTCATAACCTAACAACCGTACAGTTCTTGTACAGATTGTACTCTTTGCTTCATTGAAAATGAGTCCGAAACGCCGCGCCACTTCTTTGAACTTGGCTAAATTAGCATCATGTTCTTCCATAGACTTACCACATATAGTGACATTGTCTATATATGCAAAAGTGTCAGCCAGTTTCTCTTTGGCAATGATTTCATTAATTGTGCGTTGGAAACAAGCAACGCCGTTCGTCACACCGAAGGGTATCCGACAAAATTGGTACAAATTGCCATCAGCCTCGAAAGCAGTATATTTACGTTCGTCGGCGCGGATAGGAATTTGATGATAGGCACTGCGTAGGTCGAGTGTGCTGTATAATTCATAACAAGCGATCTTTTCTATCATTTCATCGATGCGTGGGAGTGGATACGCGTCCAGATACGTATAACGGTTAATTGTTTGACTATAATCAACCACCATTCGTTTCTTGTGACGCTCGTTGGTTGTGACCAAGACTTGAGCGCGCCATGGTGACGTTGATGGCTCTATAACTCCATCACGCAACAGGGTATTTATTTCCTTGCGAATAAAAAGTTGATCAGGAAAAGACTGACGTCTGGTTTTTGTCGCGACAGGTTTACACATTAGTGATAGATTCTGGAACAAAGTCGGTTCAGGAACCTTAGCAGCTGTCAAATTGCAAAGGGAAACAGGTGGTCGGGAACCGCCGAATGGTATTTCTAATCCCTCGTGCAGGTTGAGGAAGTCGTGACCGAGCAACACATCAGCACATAGATGCGGCAGAACGGATAGCCTGACATTTTTGTAATCGAAGTCTTTTAGCTGTAGGTGCACCAGACAATGTCCAAGGGTATCACTCACAAAAGATGTGTTAGCCATAGAGATTTCGCTTCTTGATTCAAGTACTCGCCAGCTATACTTATTGACGACTGATGCTGAGATATAGTTCTCAGAACTACCAGTATCGACTAGGGCTTGGGGACGGACACCGTTAACATGAACATGGCTAATCGCTCGTTGTATGCATACGGGAGCAGACGCAACAGTAAGCGCCGACAACAAAGATTGAGTAGTCGCCGTCTGTGGCTTGATTTTCTGTTTGGAACGACAAACTGACTGAAAGTGACCCTTTTTACCACAGCTTGCATATGGCATTTCTGGCTGGACAGGCTGTTCGCTGATGTCGGCTATAGCCACAAAAGAAACATTTATTAGTTACCGCAGAAACCAGAATTGTATCTTCTGACTGGGCTGTATCTTGAATTAAGGCACTTTGTGGAGCATAGCATACCCATATCTCCTAAAAGCTGTCGCTTTACAACTACCTGCAGTGGAGTGGACTGTACTGAGTGAAGCTTGCTAAGGCGGTTTAAGTCCTATGCTCTCAAACGGCGGTTTCCTAGACATTACAACCTGGAGGTCTTGTTGTCACAGTGGATTACCCTTCTACTCAGTCTCTCTTTTAGGCCCATGGCACTTTATGCGCCGAAATAAACGAAACCTTTCTAATTATTTGCATTGCCAAAGCAACGCATATACCCGCGTCAGCAAGCGGGAGATAAGTAGACAACATCCACCGCAGCTCCTTCATTGGGCCCTGTTGCTTAGGTTACTGGTGTACGTCAAAACCCTGGGTGAGTTGGGATTTTCCCTGCTTCGAATCTTACTACATCAGTGAGCCCATCATCCAGCTTATACGGAGATTAATTTGGACCCGCTCTTAGTTGCATTGATTGATATCATACAAAAATCCACATTCCCTGCGCTTTCTTCATTCTGGTAGCAGACTTAAATGAATTGAGCATCAGGTATGATAAAGTTACAACCAAATCGGGACTGCGTATGTCATCAGTTAGTAATGTGTTCGGAACATTCTTGGCCTGGAAAGTCTAATTTCCGGACCAACTGCGGGTGCACGGACCTAGATGAGGGGGCTGTCCACTGTGTGAAAGTAATATGGAGGGCGAGTAATAAAAAACGCACTTATATTTTTCTAATGTGTTTCACCCAGCTTATACCAGACCCCTGGATCCTAAGGACCCTAAGAGACATCACAACTGTATTTAGGAATATTCATCCTGTTTAACATGTTCTGTATGTTGATGAGTCCGAACATTGAAAACTTGGGACTTACATTAACATTATTCTGGTCTGAGATGTCCACCTTCTGTCCATGAAGGCCTACTTTGATTTATCCACCCCAAAAACAAAGCGTTGGACTCAGGTTGACTCTCATTAACTCTCACTAATGGTACATGACCCTAACTGTATTAAGGTTCAAACTTCTAACATTTGGCATACAAGGACAGCACTTTACTGCTGCTCTTTTATCGCTCGCTGGATGCACCTGAACTATGAAAAATCAAGCATATTTTTGATTGAGTACTGCGTATGTCCTTGCTGCACACCTTGGAAGATGACCCATTAGGTAACAGACACCCGTCGGTCGGCCCGATTAGGGCAGTTTTTGGGTCACCTGAAGCATTGAGCGAGAGCGTTCAAATCGCTCAGGTAACGATGCAAAGTAGTTGTAACTCACGCGCTTCATACGCCTAATAACCGAAGTTCAAAGTTGTATACACCCCGAAGTATACATTGTCATTGATGCTAGAACACTGCTTATTCTTTATTATTTTCGTACCGTAATAACCACACGTGTACTAGACGAGGACTTTTTACACCGGGTCGTGATCCCAGATAGTGTTGCTCTGACCGTGAAGTCTTTAGAATCTCATTCCGGGAGATTGCGTACTGTTTTGAACGTTTTTTGGGTTAGCTTGGCATACTGTTCAAGTTGTGAAACACACTTTAGTTCAATGCCTTCGGCTCCTAGTTAAGGGATTCTCGGCTGAAAATTCTCTGGAACCTATTGGTTCACTAGCGCACCTTCTGAGGGAATTAATTTCGAACCTCCCGGGATTCAGACGGAAGGCGGGAGTCTAATGGAAGTATCAAGATAGCCCCCAAGCTCTTTGTCCGGGGTAAAAGCTGCACAAGGACACTACAAAGCAGCATGGTAAGGCCGGAGGAAGGTTCTCCTTTAATCAAAACTTCACGTGTTGGATTGTACATACACAGCAGTAGTAAAACGAACAGGACAATAACCATCTAAAAACGTGTTTTCGGTACAATGCTAAAAATGCCATCCAGCTCAACCCAGAGCCATGGGGTTTAGGTATCAACGTGGTTTGGCCTTTTCGTATGACTGGCACTTTGCAACTCTTAACATGGCGTTTTCTGACCACCCGTACTGTCATCAGTGAACCCGAAGATTGCGAAGATGTCAGTGGGACCAAGTTGACCATAATATTTAAGTTACTTTGACAATCAATATCACTCAACCTGTTCGAGTGTTTGCGGCCCATTAGTTCAAATACACCAGCTGAGAAGTACACATATGGAACAGCTCAATAAAGTCAGTTAGTAACCGAAGAAAGGAGAAAACATGGGGAAACGTCTTTCCAATCTAATGATTGCAAACATGAGTTTCTTGCCTCATCCTGCGAATTTTCCGTCCAAAAGAGGATCGGGGAAATCGGTAACAGTCTTTCATGCAAGTTGGATACATAAGCGATCATCACCGATCTGATAATGGATCTAAAATGTGCAGCACACCCTCAAGGTGCAAGTCGCTGCTTTCTGAAACTAAACCGCCTTCAAGGTACTTCCCTCACGTGTCATGTGCATCAATCTACTATGGCCAAATTGTGTCACCTGACTGTCACTAATGATCCCACTATGTCTATTTGATGGATTGAGTCAGCTGAAACAGTTCAGTTCGATCAGTAACGTCTTTCATGTTGCACTATTTAAAACGCCAAATGCTCGTGAGGCAGAAGCCATTAGTTCTGGAAAAGTAATTCGCTACGCACTTCGCTCCGTCTGTGATCCGTCAAACGGTAAAATTCGTCTACCCTTTGAGTTCAAAGTCAATATAATCCTCAACATCTAACTGTTAGCAAGCTTTCTTGAGGACATGATGCATAAAAATTGAGTTGGTTTGCTTGATTTAGCCAATACTTTGAAATTCTTCATGAATTGCACCCATTTTTGAGTGCGCCTACCCGACGAGCCGCAAGAATGGTGAATTTGGTCGTGGGCCTAATGGATAGTGTGTGTATATTGACGAGGTAATCAGAGGATTTTGGTTACTCTTGTGCAGAGTCATCCATGTTTTTGAGTAGCGCTTTTAGCTAGCTGCCGTTTCACCACACCGTAGGGAATTCTTATAAGTTAAGCAATCCTACGGCTAATCACTGGAAGCACCTTTGTTAGCTACCAACTATACTACCGAGAAATTTCATCTTTTCATTTGTTTTCTGTGTTTCTCACTTTGTTCAGCCTTGTTGTCTTTTTGTTCCAGCTCACTAATTCTTCAAAGTAATTCGCAAATTTTAGATGAGTTGAACCCCATCCCCTTGGATTGAGATGCTTGATGAGGATTGTCTTCTCGAGGTAATCTGTTCATACAGTTGAATTTATTGTTTGTTTTAGAGTCATCCGTTGCAGCAATACTTGTCTGATCTGGGTTTGAAGGAAAACGCTATCCCGGTCCGACCTGATTCTTCGAACAGCCCGAATGCACATCACGCTCTCTCGGATAAATACGCTGCGTTGAGAGCTCCTCTGTATTACATCTTCTCTCCCGCTTTCTATGTAGGTAATATGGGGCTTAATCCGACTGCTTTAGTTCGCACATTGTGTCAGGATAAATATACTACGCAATCTATCTTTCGTGGCTCTTCACTCTCCTGAAGATAATCCGATTTTCCAACATTTCGAGCAGATTCATCGGACGGATTTGGATGACTCGTTCAAGTAGGTTTTGCCGGATTTGTCAGCCTTATTTATCAGGTTTTCTCTTCTTGTCTTTGCGCTCCATCTGGGATTGCTCAGTCTTTGTTGTTTCTCGACTTCTTTATGTCTATGGCTTCTGGCAACCTTTAGCTTCTGCTTTTGCCTCATATGTATATCTGCAACGTTATTCATGCTTGTGGTCTTATGGCTGGTTCGCTACATTTCGAAACAGACCACTCTGATGGAGACGCAGCTTCGTTCGTGTGTCATCTTCCTACTGAACTTCGAACAACACAACACATTTGGAAATGTTGGGTGTGCTTCAGGTTTTCATATATTGACCGATTTCTTTACAGTATCCCTTCATCACGGAGCAGCCGTTACCTACAGCAAAATTTCCTACTCCATCTTCGCTCACATGTGTCAAAGATGTTGCATCTTTCACTGTTACTGAAGAGTGAGTCATCTTGGGCCTCCTTAAGCGGTTGGTTACAGAGTTCCCTCTCTCTGGAGACCTCTGTAGTAACCTGTCCCTCGAACAGGTTCAGAATTTGAGGGACGCTCTCCATCAGAAACAGTATGAGGACTCAACGCTGCTGAATGACTGCAAGGTTTTTCTCTCATATTTTTTTGCTTGTTATATTCCTGTAGATGCTCCGTGAGGTCGGTCTCCTACTGGATTCGGATGTTTTCAGCCAACTGATTGGAGTTTTTTGTTTCCTTTCAACCAAGGACGTACTGGACTGGTGTGAGTTCTTTTGGTCACCCAGATATTCAAATGTACTATTGCGATCTTCCTTTTTACAGATGACATTCACCAAACTAGCTAAGTTGTCGTTCGACCTGATCGGTTCGTATTCGGGCTGGTTTCGATTCTGTTTGATTTCGGCTCATACAATCGTTGTCTCTGAGTGATCTCAAACTTTGATTAGTCAGGTTGTTTTCGCAATTGACACGATTTTCAATCTGTGTCCATGCCAGCGAATGAGGCACAATAAATTCATTGTTTATCGATAATTTGGTGTATCCATGACAAACACCAATCGGTCTCTTAGGTGTATCGTTTAATTTGGGGCTAGTCCAAACACGAATTCCGAATGAAACAAGACCGTACAAACTCTATTTCCCCATCAGTATATGGCAGCACACAGATTAAAATAAAACAGCCACATCCACTAATTAGATACATTCCTTGAAAAATGTTTAGCTATGCAAAAAACTTTTTCAATTTATCGATACTTTACGATGCAATGAGAGCTCGTGGCTTGTCAAACTACATGTGGGCGTTTACCCGGCTTCTCGGTCTCTCACATACTGAGCAGGGTAGTGTGGCCTGCAGTAATCTTCATCTACAAGTCCTAGTAAGATCAGAATGGTCATCAGCGGTCTGAAAATGCCTGTCTGGCACTCAGTTCGTTTCAAAGACCACAGAAACTCGGCTCAGCTGAAGTTCCATCTACGCTGAAGCGCCACGAACTACTGTGCAGCCTTTTCAACCTTGTTGGCCACCGCCAGTTTGCATCCTACAAATCTCCAGGCTGATATGAGCCCGCGATATCACGGTTAATAGCTGAGCGCTCACGGTAAAAAATGGCGACACTGAAGATTCGTCTCCCTATAACCACAAGGTTTACTTGACTACTGACCGGAAGGTCCGTGGTTCGAACCCGACCTCTGCATCTCGACTTCCCTTGTCTAGGCTTGGGCAACCTGGCAGTATCCCAGCCCTCCTGCAACCTTCTGGTGGTATGGCTGTTATGCACCGAAAGGGTGCTACAACTGAATGGTTGTATTATCATTTTTATTCGATTATTCTTCAGGCTTTAATGTGAAGAGAAAAAAGTGATTGAGGATGGAACATGGTGCTTAGCCTATCACAAGCATTCTGAGTTGCATACGCCTCCAAGCGTTCAATCGGACAACCTGGAAAGAAACTGATAACACCAACGTCCTTGATATCGATCGGCCGTCATTTGTTGTAATTTCTCCAGCCAAATACGGGGGGTGGCTCACAGGGACCTCATCTTGAAGGTGAACCGCATCAACGATACCTCAACTTTCCGTAATCTTTTTCACACCCTTCTGGCAAATCATGGGTTGCGCCATTCTCAAGACGCACGGAGAACAACACTTGTTTCGGTAGGCGACGTTTCTCCATGCGTAACACATGGCCGAGCCAGCGCAGTTGATGTTGTTGCATGTTTCCCGCGATTGAAGTACCAGCTGCACAAACAAATGTTCTCTTTTAATTACCTCGTTGAAAATCCGTTAATGCCATCCGATGCGGGCAGCACTTGTGAGACATTCGTAGTCAATGGCCTCATCTGTTCGCAGAGGCCATGTTGCAACTATACAACACTACAGCTCTTACTGTAGAAGAGCACTAGACTAGCATGATTAACCCGCTTGTAGACGATAAATGGCTTCATTATCCTTCAGACTCGACGTCAGCAGATTCTGTCGATGCAAGATGGTGGTAAACTCACTTTTTCTTGAGTTTTCCTCCTCATCTTTATGGTCAGTGGCACTGTGACATGTTAGAAAATTACGGCATTTTTAATCAGGATTCCGAATTATTCGCGGAGAAAATTTCCAGACCAAATCAGACCATTCGATTCTAAGATCGTAACATATAAAATACGAGAGTGGTTTGATCAGTTCAGTCTGTTTCTTTTCTCGCTCTGTTGTAGGCATCCATGAATGTAATCAGTTGTTTCATAGCAGAGTAAGCCAGCACGAAATCGTTACAATTTGAACTTGTGTTTGGGAATGGAACAGGAAACAGTTACAAACGACAAATTATTCACAACTTCAAGTGTCCTCGAGTTGGAGGACTTTTCGATTTCTCTTCGCAAGCATACTATACCGGCGATTGGGTCATGATTCGTATACACTGGTGGTCATACTTTGTTCCTTACTAGGCTTCACCTACGCTTTATAGAATCCCTCCAGATTCGGTAGTGGGGATGAATGATCTTTCCCATACAACAACGGTTATTTATTTATTTTGCTTTCTTGACCCAACACTACTAACAAGTGTGTTGAAGATTAGTATAGCCGGAAGATTTAGCGGATATATATTGGTATCTCCCGTTGACATCAAGTTGATGTCTAGGCTATTATTTTCCATTGGCTTTCATCCAGCAGAATTACCACTTGATAGTATGACTTCACTGTGGTAGAGTGATAAACAGTTGATCTTCCACGAAGGTCAAAATATCTTCTGGGCGATGATATTCACAAGCGTCTGCTGTGGAATTAAGACACCTGGTTGCCTGACTCTGCAGCTGTTCTTCTGGTTTTTAAAACAGGATCATTCTTATCCTAGAGCTGTTTCGGACAAGCGTTACGACATGCAACTCCCAAACTGTCCACTTTTTCACGAACTGTCCAGCTTCTCCTTGCATTGATATCGGGGCAACTGGTGCATTCTTTTGACGAACCTGGATATCTTCTCACCTTGCTCTGGTTGAGGCGTTTCTTTGAGAGAATCGTGTTGCTCCGATCACGTGAGCCCTCAATTCATCACCATTTAGTGTTATCAAANAAAGATGCCGATGCCGATTGGTAGAAAAATACGTATCCAAAGACTTCAACTACTCTGCCAATTTTCATTTTGGTGATCGAGAAAAGCTACCTGTTGAAAACGAGAGCTTGGATATGTGCACGCCCCTGAACAATCGACTATGCCAATGTCTTCAACCTTTGATGTGTCCCGTCTCGTCCAGGCAATGTTCAGCCTAGATTTCATACTTCGTCACCAAGCCTTTGTTTGGCCCCCAGCTCTCTCCCATTTTCGGCATGGTTTGTGTAAAAGAGCTCTCCGGGGAAATCGATTACCGGCATACAGAGCACCTGACCAAACCAGATCAACCTGTGATCAGTCATTCCGTCGTGAGTGAGTTATTTCTTCCGAACACTATTCGACATACTTCACCCTCACTGCTGCGATGTTCCACCAGCCACCAGTTGTCAAACACTGAAAGTTTTTAACATCTTTAGCTGTTTTCTGACCCATATAGCAATATGAAGTGCATCGCACTATTGTAAACCCGACTCTTGACAGATAAGCTGATTTCACGCCTGTGCCACAGTTGATGCAGGTTGACTAAAATGCTGTTGGTTTCCCCATCCAAATGGAAATATGGTCTTTAGCCAAACCACCGGGTGTACAGGTATACAGCTATACACAAAAATACCTCGATCGCTCCACCCGCAAGTATTTGATTTGGGTTTGATTCTACTCGGTCTTGCAGCGGCAGTTTACATGTGTGAAGCGAATACCCAGCCGCGAGGCAGAACTGTTTAAATTATTTGTATTACTTGCATTCCGAAGGAATCGAATTAGAGGAGGGCTATGTCGTCTGTATGCTGCGTATCTGGGACCATTTCGGCCCGCTAGACACTGGAGGTCGGGAATGAGTCTTCCATGATTGCATCATATTCATGACGGGTTTGAAGAAGAAAGGTGAGTAGAACAGCCTACCTGACACGTGATAAACAATGCTAAGAGCTTGCCGTAGACCTTCGCATCCACGGGAGTTACTACGCAACCCAGTGAGAAAGACCGGGAATTTATGGGGAATGCCTTTGCTCCATAGGAACTGCCACAGCGCCGGAAGATCAGCAGAGTCAAATGCAGCTTTCGAGCTAATAAAAACGGACAGTTTTGGTTACCGGAAGCAGTACCGCCGCTCCGGAATCTGTCGGGGAATGAATTGTGATCGCCGCATCCTCTTGCAGAACGGTTTTCACGAATCTACCCCTCTCTGTGTTCGGTCAACTTTGGAAGCTTGAGACTGCAGAGCCACAGCTACCGGACTGACGCGACGGTGGTTTTCAAGCTGTGTTTGAGTACCATTTTTTTAAGATGACCCTTGGTGTGTTCCGTTCTATGGCTACCTGTTCTTCACTTTATATAGCATCAATAAGTTTTATCAGATGGGTAACCGGGAATTCCTCGTCTTTGAAGATAACTGGATACAAACCGTCCATTCATGGTGCCTCCACCTTTGGAACGTGTAGTTCGTACCTTATTTCTTTGAAGTGATGAAGGCCCAGTTCCCATTATTGTTTGGAATTTTTGATCCATCCTTTTAATAGTTTTTTTGGATGAATTATTGAACCTTCTTTTTTTGCTAACAGATCCTTCCGTTGCCCAGTCGAAGCGGACAGTAAGGGACACGGGTGTTTCTGGTGGTGAAAACTTTTCCCACCTAAGCTTTTGTTGTCCACAAGAGCTTTCGATCTTTCTTTTGGCTGTTCACTGTTCAGCGTTTGTTGTATATGCGTGCACCATCGTACTTTTGTTTGGATTTCCTAGCATCAATCGGGACTAGAGGCCTCGATCTTAGCCACTGGTCATTGGATCGTTTCGGAGAAGTCAATCAGGCTGCTTTGATGACTGTCAGTACATCTCGTTTTACATTTTGCGATTCTGCATCCACGTGCTGGTTACCAGCACTGTGTTGGCTTACCGCACAGATTAGTCTGGCTAGCATAAATCGGTACTGTTGGGTTTTGGTAGTTTTCTGAAGATGATTGGTTGACATGCTTCTTGTTGGTTTGCAAGGGCCTAAAGGAAAGCAAACTATCATGCGAACTCCCACTATGGCGTAGTCGGAATCAAACTCTGTTCCAGAAGAGTTGGTATTCTTGAATCGTAACCCTCCATCGGTGGTGATAGCCACAGAATCTTATTTGGTCTACAATTGATTTGCATTTGATCGGCATCAGGTTGCGAATTCTTGCTGGCAGAAACATTTCATGATCAGCGCACAGCTGGAGGAGTCGCTTTCCGCTCTCTGTGAAATGAGCAGTACTTCGAATCGAACACCCTGATGTGACTTCAAAAAGTTCAAACAACCGATTAGGGCATTCATAGTACCAAAACGAATGACAATATCAGTACTTCTTTGTCGGTGAATAAGCTCTGTTACATCTCGATATAGAATAGTCAGTGTCGGAACTGCAGTCTGTTGAGCCGTAATTGAATGCTTTAAACTTGTGTACATGTTTCGTTGAGACAACATACATAAGATTTAATGAACTGCAAATTCTGAGAGGTTATTGACCATTTTCCAATTTGTCATTGAGGACGCCCATATAGAATCTCGTCGATTTATCATTGTTACTTCGTTTATTTTTAGTGGACAGTGGGTGGATAGGGCACTTCGGTCAGATAATCAAATAATGTAGCGATGTTTGGTTGTAGAATAAGGAGGTAGACCGGTGAGCAAAGAACTTTGCGAACAAATGATACTTCCCGGTTGCGCAAACCGAGTAGGGAGTTTAGTCGAGGTACTCCACGTTGGGTCTACGACTGACGATTCTGCTGCACAAGGCAGTTGGACAAGTAAGAGCCTTTGCCTCAAAAGTCCAACCCGCGAGGCACCAGGTGTCTTCTTGGGTACTCTACCCAAGCCGATGACTCAATAGCTTGAACCACTGGTCTGCACGACTGTGGTTTATTTGCCGGGATGTAGCGAATAATGCATAGATGTCTCACTCCTGATCGAGCCGCCCACCGCAGATGCGTTTGAAACTCATCGGGCTCATGGCAAGGTTTATGTTCTCCGACTGTGCTGGGTAATTCGCTGGTGGTCATGAGATGACTCAGTGGTTAGAGCGCGGATTTACTAACCGGAAGGTCCTTGGTTCGAATCAGACTTCTGCATCTCGACTTTCCCTGTCTGGGCTTGGGCATCCCATCCGTCGTGCTTCCTTCGGGTGGCATGGAAGGTAAGCACCGAAAGGGTGTTCCAGCTGAACGATTATTTATTTATTTATAGTGGTCACGATCAACCGTTTGGTGGTCGGATTGTGCGGTCAACCTTTTCTTACCTGTCCCTCCTCAGAGGGTGGCGGTGTGGTTGCTTCCGCAAATATAAACAGTCCGGGCGCCGTGCTCGTACTTTACCCCCACGCCGCCTCGCAGTATGGGACCTCGCTACTCGTCGTCTGGCTCGTCCCGTCTGTTCTTCCTGGCACGATGGTACCTGTTGCAATAAGTTCCAACCAGTGTAACTCGTGGGATCATTGGCACACTCGATTCCGATCCACGTCAAGGTGAAAGTCCTAGGTCTGGTGGGAGGCGATAATCTAATAGAATTCATTGGGATGTTCTGCTGACCAACACTTTCCGAACTAGTGAGATATCCAAAAGCTCGACCAAGAGGATTGAACCTATTCATTCTGTACTCTTACCAACCCACTTTGAATATGGTCAGGCATTTTTTGTAAAGTTCCTCATGTCTCATACCAACCCAGATAAATGAGGGTTATATCCAGCGTATCTTGCATCTCCTCCCCAGGAGCTAGAAAGTCGTATATCACCTGAGGCTAGATTTTCGTTTTTGGGGCACTGGAACCGCTGTCTTGAGCGTAATTCCTAAACTAATGTCAAGCCGACTGGCACGGGCCCAGACGGGTATTTGTAGTATCATTTTTAACGAGATCCATTGCCTGATTAAGTCGGCAGTATACGGTCATTTGATACGTACCCGTGCAAGCTGCTATACAGCTCAGGTGTAACGAAAATATTTGACTACCGTGTTTTTGTTTCAGGGAACCTCATTTGGGTACTTGGAGACTGGGCCCATTTCCTCTATTCGGCGCAGCACTCTCTGCGGACGGTTGATCAGTTACATGTGGCACTAGAAAAAGGAACTAGTGTCGGTGCGAACGGCACAAAGGAGGACACTAATTCGGGTTGCGGTGGAGAATTTCAGGTGGTGCATCGAACGGCTCATAATCTACGATTGCATCTGCTGGTTGCGCTTGACAGGTACAAGTTTTTTCTCCTCCTTTGGCGGCTTTTTGGTGTCGCTTTAAGCGTGCTTTGCAGCTCGTTTTTTTTCGAGGTAGGCTCGAATTTTCTACCTCGTAATTTATCTCGATTAGCACAGTCATCTACATCACTTGTCAGTTGATTCTAGTGCGTCCGGCTCAGCAGATGTTGTGGTAAGCTGTGTGTGGCTGTTCCCCTTAGGCTTGGTCCGTCCAGACAGGGTAGGCGGAATAAATGATTGCTATTCGGGTAAGCGCGCACCACTGTAAACCTTTTTTGTGACTGCAAGTGCATCGTTGAAACAACGGATGCTGACACAGTTTGTGGCTGTGAAGAAAAACGGGACGAATATTGATTATTTGTGAGGCTTGTTTTGTGTGGCCACGATCACTTGTTCGAACAAGTGGCTAGTCTATTGTCACAATTTATGTGAAACTTCAGTAGGCTGTTGATGCATGACTGTCAAGTTTCACGGCTGGATCGATATTTGAATCGGCTGTTTCTCGCCATATATGCACATTTTCAAGTTACGTCCACAGAATAACAAAGAACAAACTATTACTCTGTACGAACGATTTCTCTGCCCCTCATTACTCAACACTGGAATCCTATCAGAATCCGCAAAACTCACTTCCCATAGAGTGAGCGCATAGTTCATCGTCCCAAACAAGTAGTAAGGCCCACAAGAACTCGTTTGACACCTGAGTTTCTCCGGTGAGAATAATAAGCAGCATATCTGTTTCCACATTGCTTACAAGCCGGAAACAGACTAACAGCAATGGAAACCGTGCAGTGATCACCATTTCGCATATCAGGTGACCTTTAATGCTTTCAGGTGATACCGTCTCATTCGCGTATCCAGATTGAGGCCTGGATCCATGGGTCGCCGGGTGAATAAAATTGTGGAACATCATTCCGATGACCCAGTTCCGAACCGTACCTTGATGTCTTCAGACTGGCTGCCGGCTCCTTCCCTGTTAACCTCTTCGAATTTTTTCAGATACAAATGTGTAAAACTTCAAACTTGGATTCTTCCATATCCTCGTTTGCCATGCATCGTTTTAGTTCACTTTATCACCTATAAGAGCCACAGACGCACGTGACCCATTTAGACATGTGCTATGCGAATCTTTTCCCCCGAAGCTAACTACCAATACATCCGAGTAATTTATGGCAAACATCTAATTCCCATTTTGTCCCGTATTATTCATTCATCTAAGCTTTCACGTGTTTCGGGGGCCTACAAATGAAGACCGCTTTGCTTTTGGGCCATCCTGCCTCGCAAGCTCACGAAAATGTGCCAGTAACACTATTCACGGTTTTCCAACGCCCGGCTGAAACAGCTTATGACGTATGATCAACCCTCTGTGGTGTTATCGCAAAGTTACGGTAATTGAGTCCAAGAGATGATCGCCAGTTCCACAGCGTTGTTTTACGACCTTATTAACTAGTCAATTCGATAGTTAAACAGAACGAACTTAACGCATCCAGTATTGTTTGGTGAAGGCTGTCGTCAGTCAATATGAATGCAGCCGATCGACAACTATTGAGCTCAGTGGTCAAGGCACGGAAGGTTCGTGGTTCGAACCCAACCCTCGACTATACTTGTCTAGGTATAGGCAGCCTGGCAATATCTCGGCTCTCGTGTTTCCTTCGGCTGGCGTGGCAACTATGCACCGAGAGGTTGTAGCTGAACCGTTATTACTTTTATCTTGTTTGATTTTATTTCGAGGCATAACTAGCCACACACTCCTCGTTGTACTTACCGGGTTTGATGTCACGCACTAGGATTAAGCTCTATGTGGTTTATGTTGTAGCAAGTATGAACGCTACCGGACCTTTTACGCTTTCTGTGGCTTAGAAAGTCCTCACATGAGCGAACGGTTTTCAACCTCTTGGATTGTTTTTTTTCTTTTGGGACCATCCTGTGTTGCTTTTTCCACATTGAGCAATTTAATCCACCACATGCAGTTGACCTTCGATTCTCTACAGGACTTACGTATTATCGTTCACATCTAGTAGCAAGGTACCATCAGCCACAGACGCTTGAGCGAACGGTTTCAACCTCTTGGATTGTTTTTTTTCTTTTGGGACCATCCTGTGTTGCTTTTTCCACATTGAGCAATTTAATCCACCACATGCAGTTGACCTTCGATTCTCTACAGGACTTACGTATTATCGTTCACATCTAGTAGCAAGGTACCATCAGCCACAGACGCTTGTGGGTTACGCACCAGAATGAAACGACCTCAAGGTAGCGTATTGGTTGAAACATACCATTGAGGTAACCCCGGCCATACCTTTTAACTTGTTCCCGTTCAGGCTTGACTGACCTGTCAGTATCTGAACCCTCGTGCTTCAGCCCTACACCGAAAGGATACCATGGCCGATTTACTGATGACGTGTGCGTCAAACGGACGGACTTCTCTCGTCCTTCTTGTTGTCCTAATTGTACTTTTGCTCCATTAAGAAGTTTTCTCTTAACTTTCCCTGTCTATTATGTGTTGTTACTACCATTTTGGGTCTAAAGCATAGCAAGCAAGTATGCCACAAAAATGGGTGAATCCAAAGTCTGATTTTACGTTTATGCTTATGCTAGTGCAACTCCGGCACCGTACTGCATACTGTTACTCCAGTTTTCCTTTCTCTACAGGACGAGAGAACTGGAAGACGCTCTCAGCCAAACCGATGGGGATACCTTGCTGCATCTTTCAAGCCAGCTGAGTTTTATACAGCTTCAACTTCAAGCATGTGAAAATTTTCGCGGAGAGCTGGAGAAGTTACTCGTATCTCCGTCGGGCGGAGGACAACCTGACTTCAATGACACTTCTTTAGGGGATACAGACGAACCAGTCACTTACAGCATGCTGCATCAGGCCAACCCTGTCACCATGGAAGCAAAGGATTTGGAGCCAGAAGATGATGTAGGTCCCTTATCAACCTACTTATGCGAAAATGCACCGAATTCATGCGCTCTATTCGTGATGCTTAGCACAGACACTGTTGCTAAGACGGGACCATTTATTTTTCCGGGAATACTTGTATGATAGGATTTGGATTGAGTCGTAAGTGCTGTCAATAGTTTTCCGTAGGCGAGAAGGCTTTCGAACGATAGACTTCTTGAACGTATTGTCGAAAGCCCGTCTTCTGCACGCGTTTCGTCAGCTCCGTTAATCAAAAGCCGAATCGAATTTCGCTTACATTCCTCAATTATCACGACCTTCAGCTGCAGAAGCCGCGCATACTTTGTACAGTGGTCATGGCTGCCATAGTTTCGTCTGCCGATAATCTCGCCAGGTAGGTATGGACAGCTACCCATGGGAGGCCTGTATAATTGATGCCCGAAAATGGGGAAGTTAATGGATGCTGTTTGGGGAGATTGGGAGGGCCACAGCTCGGGTACATGTTCACCATTGAGTGCGTGACTCGGCCACGCCCATGAATGTCAGTAGCCGTTGATAGGGTCCCCGTCTAATGTTCTCACCAAATTGAAGAGTGTGTAACTTGAGTTGACAGTCCATTGGTTCAGATTTCAAACCTCTAACGGAATCTACTAACGGCGCGAATTTGGATTCTGTTGTAAGGCAGCACTCGTGGATTTTGAGTTCAATAATCGTCCTAATGGCTTCTCCGGTGCGAAAGGTGTTTACATTAGAAACAGTCATCTGCTGTAAGTGGTCTGCGAACTCAATGCTTTACCCTTCTCTGCTTTCATGTTCATATATTCCTATTAGAAGGGCTTCACTACGAATCCTGTTAGTGAAATCCACCTTCAGTATGGGCACCCGGAAAAAATGCTGCCCACATGATACACATGATACATAATTCAAATACGTGCATCAACACTCGCTTGATGGTTTCCGTTTTGATAACTTGGCTGTTGGCAAACCTGCAGGTTTGTGCTTTTTCGGCCTCTGGAGTTTTAGGCTATTGACTTTTGCTTTCCTCCGGAAACTCGTCTCCAGACGCATGTTCCAACAGTGTGCAAACCACTTTTTTCAGGACATCAGCATGCCCAAACAACGGGGTAAATGTTTCAGAATAGCGCCAACTACAACGAACTTCTTCGGTCACCCTTAATTAGTGAGGCTTTTTCTGTGCGAGTTAATCGTTCGCTGAAAATTTCAAGAGCACGCTAAAATGTAACCTCTTGTCCTAGCGGTATATCAGCACCAGGGGCAGCAATACATCATTATTGGAACCCGAAGAAGGCCCTTGTGGGAAGTGAAAAGAAAGGAGAGTGTGAAGACATCGCAAAAGTTTTTGTCTCTGGGGAAGGTGGCTAAGAGCGAGGTTTTTTCTAAAACCATTGATCTTATCACATCTAAGCGTGCTTTACAGTAAGGGTGACGGACTCAAAATTTCTTGCACAGTCTAACCAACACGAGTCCAGTGCGCAGCGATAATCAAGCACTAGCTAGGCAGTCCGGTTAAGAAGTTACATCAAGCTTGCCACTGGGGTTTGTTACCTGCCATGCGAACTGCATGGGTCTCGCCCAAGAAGGCGCGGAGATCTCATAGTGCCCAAATTGACAATATCTGCTTTCATTTCGCGTTGCCACGTCACGATCTCTCTTCCGCTTGCCTTTCGCCAACAATATTTTAGAATGTAAAACGGCTTTCTGTGATAGACCGTGTTCGGACAAATGTAGGTCATGTCTTAACCCGTTAAATTGATGAGCTGTATCTGATGCTCAAACGAATCTGACTCGTATATTCCACAGTCAGCTGACACATAAATACCACACAGAAATAGGTTGTCAAATAGTTGAGTACATTTCAGGTCTTCAGATCAGAGAGGAAAAGTTCCAAACCATAATTTACTGTTGTAGACGGCTCAGTAATGTTAGTTTTTGACACCAAGGTTGACACAAGCTGGTGAATCTTGCCTGTTCCTTGACGGCCTGCGCATTGAGTTCATCTGTTGCAGCGCACTCAGAACCTATGCAGCGGTCGAGTTAAGTAAACCTATAAACGAACTCGTACTTCATACTGAGATGAGAAATCCCGAATTGTGATCTGACTTTGGGGGCAAACATTCCATGCTCATAAATAACAGAGTAATAGTATCCGCATGACTTTGGTCTATCAATATTTCTTTTGGTATTGTTTTGGGACGTACACCAACTGACTTTCTTGCGGTGCGAGTAAAGATGGATTCCACCATCAATTGTAGGAATTAATTATGAAACGATCGGGCGTGGATATTTTGGTATTAACTTAGAACGTAAACTGGCTTCAAACAAACCAGATGATTGACATTCTGCTGGCAGCAGAAGCCTCACTCCTTTCCAGCTCTTCGGTATCGACTTCCGCCGCAGTGCACGTCGATGAGTCACCTTGTTCACACCATGTCTTACCTCCCCGTCTATCAAAATAGGCTATATTGCAAACGACTGTCGATGACGAGTCTATGTGCCTGGATGTTTTCATTGAATAGTTCCTTTTTTAAGCGGAGCCCATCTGTGCTAAAGTACTGAGAAGCAGTTTACTGCAATTTCATCCTTACTGGGCGTCATCAGAAGTACGCATCTCACGAAACTCAGGGTTTCGAATCCACGATCTCTTGGTTAATAGTTTGAGTACTTAACTGTTCGACTGCGGGCTTCTGGTCAGCAGTGTGATTAAGTGGTACTTAAACGGCATCTTGATCTTTCTTGATATCAAAAGCTCTGTTGCCTCTGTCGCTTGAATTGGAAATGCCCAAGGAAGCAAGGAATACCTGCAGAGTACGGTAGCGTCATCCGGTTACCGTACAGATAAACATCGGGCCAAGTGAAATAAGGGTGTCGGTTATAATATTCTTTTTTGATGCTGCGGTCAACGGTGCCTTGAACAAAACACTGATTATCCATAGAAATAAACCCCGACTTAATCTCGCCTAACATACTCCGAGATTTGAGCACTCCAACTATGTAATTTCAGCCGTATCCATTTCTCGAGGCACACACCTTCGATACTCTTGCAATCTCTGCCCACCACTCTGGAATGCGTTTTGTTCTCCCCAGTGCAAAGTGACACTACTCGATTAGCAGTATCCCACGCTGCTATTCACCCTTGATGGTCACTGACCAGAAATTCGCGAAAAACCCATCTTACTCGATAACTGCTTCAATACGGATGGAGTGAGTTAGAAACTGACGAGTGAGATAATCAAGGCGTCTGGGTATTTCAAACCTAACCCACCTATTTCACTGCTGTCACCTGATCGAATGTTCGACTGCGTCCGGCGGAAAAGACCAAATACAGGCGCTGTTTATTCCACCCTATATTCGAACTGTGACATACACACACAGAAGACATGCAATGCCTGTCTGTTTGAGAACGTCGGTGCCTGTGAAGTATTCCTCGTGCTTAATGGGAGGAACCTGTTACCCACGCTGAGCTCCATCGTTCTGTATTTGGCCCAGAACGACCGAGCATAGTTATGTCGCAAAACAAGCTCCGATGGTTGACCCACCTTTCTCCATCGACTACTTCGGCGCACGGTTTTCTCAAAACTCTAAGCTACTTGGAGTAGACCATCTTGGCACTGAACTTCGAAGCTGCTTACCACTCGGCTTACATCATTTGGAGCGTTGCCTCTCCTGAAAGACGATAATAATGTCAACTTAAAGAGGCTCGCCGACATGATGTAGGACCAAACCCAGTGGTGCTTGTGATGCAAATTTTTGTTTCAACTCTTGCTGCCTTGTAATTATTGCTTTATTTCACTTGTATACGTTTTGTGGTACGCGGATCTACCACCATGTAAGGGGCGGAATCTATAAAGCTATAAATATGCACATCTTTGTGCGGGGGGCACAAAACCCCAGTGTGTTTCCAATGAACAGTTGAACAGATCCGTTCATCGTTCTTTCGGCTGAGTTTCGCGTACGGCTAGGTAACTGTACGCTCTTGTTCCGGTTCATGAAGCATCTGGATGCGCACAGTTTGAGTGAAATCTTGAGGTTCGTTGGATCAATGCTGTTACCTGTACTTCGTTTGTAAAGTTTGAATTTTGTCACTGAGACACAAGGTGGTTATCTCATTTCAGAGGGGTTTGGTAAACAATCGGTGGATTTATTGCTGGGCAACGTTTCGCTTTTGACACAAAAGCTTCGTCAGGCCAAGTGAGTAAGTAAGTAGGTTGATTGGGTTTTAAGGCAGTCAGGGAACCAATCCGTGAGATTCCT